CACATGCACTCTACTGGCTTTCACCAGCACAAGCATGTGGGTTGGATGCTACATCCCATCCTTTCCACGAATTAATAAAAAGGAACTGCTGGGCAAGGCAACCACCATTGATGGGCTCGGAATTCATGAGGATGTATATTATAAATCTAAACTGAGCATTTCTCAGTAATTGTATAAGGACTGAGTTACCAGAAAAGAAGTTTTACTTCTGAAAAAAACCCACATCTCCTTGCATTCTTTGCTATTATTGGAACAGATAAACAACTCGTCTAAATCAACCTAAAGTTTTGCATACACAGAAATACTAGAAACAGCATTTCCAATCTCCTCCTTCATCTCAATCGAGGAGCTGCAATGAAAGTACAGCATGGGTTAAAAGCCTGGAAAAGTGAAGGAGAACTAACAATTTCTTTGTTCTTGTAAGGCATTCTGATCTACAAATACTAGGCTCAAATTAGGCAGAACTTTTGTTTCACTGAAGTTCATTTTTATTCTCCACATCTTTGTTAGGGAGCCTTACATGTGCAAGAACTTGAACAGAAACACTGAGATTCTCCTATGAGGAACACTTCTGCTAGATCGACAGTCCACTAGCCCAAAATGCTATCAGATGCTGTAATCAGTGCTACAGACATCAGAGGAAGATGAAATCATTGATCCGTCTGTCAACAGGGGAGAGATCTTCCTAATCCCCTCAGTATAATATGTCTATTCTGAAATCTTATAATCTCTTTATTTTATGTAGTGTAACTGTGGACATTCTTATTATGGATACTTAATCCTCAAAGATTATAAACTTCTGGCCTCAGTGACATTACTGTGGCATTAAGTTCCTCAAGCTCACTGTGTTCTGCAAAGAAGCATTTCCATTAAGGTTTTTTATGTGTATCTCATATTCACTAAATATGACCTGTGCCACATTATTGTGAGAACAGGGCTCTCCTGTTCATCCTTTCTCTGTGCTGTTCTTCACATTATTTGTACGCTGATCTGCAGGAAGATAGTCAGGAAAGCTGATCTGAAGTAAATAAAAGTTTTAGCTAAATTTTAATAGATTAGTGTATCTACAACGTTAAAATGGATAAATTATACTACATGAAATCCCTGTACAGGATTCACATTCAGAATGACAATGATCTTAATACAATTTGCCTCACTTTGCTTCCAAAGTAAATGGAGATAAACCAAATGAAAGCCACTTATATTTTGAATAACAGTATTTACACAGTGATTCAATGTAATTCAACTCAGCCTTTTAAATTCCCATATTTTGTCACTTCATTATTTTTCCCTGCGTGTTCATATGTAAAAAAGTGTTCAAATCATTGCCTTTTTAAATCTCCTATCTTGCTCACAATTTCCATCCTTAACATCCACTCCTTTTTGCCCTTACGTGGATCCTTTTTATTTTACTGTATCTTTTGGAGTCAGTATAACCAGGATGAAATAATTGCCATGATTAAGAGTGTTTCTACATTGAAGACCATCACAGAATCACAGAATGGGTGAGGCTGGAAGGGACCACAGTGGGTCATCTGGTCCAAACTCCCTGCTCACGCAGGATCGTCCACGAGCACGTTGCACAGGATTAAGTCCAGACAGTTCTGGAATATCTCCAATGAGGGAGACTCCACAACCTCTCTGGGCAATCTGTTCCAGTGCATGGTCACTGCACAGTAAAGAAGGTTCTTCCTCATGTTCAGCTGGAACTTTCTAGTCATCGCTGCAATAATTTTTGTACACTCATATATCCTGCTATTTAACATAAAAATCAGGCAAGACGTTAATTAACTCTGTGTGGATGAAACATCTGAATTTTGAAATTGTCACAATAGCCACTTCAAGTCTTTCAATTCAAAAGCTCCCATTATTATGTTACCTGGTGTAAGTAGCAAGAATTACTTTTCCTAAGAAATGGAAGAGTCTTGTCTGAGTCAACTTATGTCCAAACAAATTGTCAGTCTCAACAAAAGCAGCCCCATAGTCACATCTGTTGAATCTGAATGGATAGCTTTTAACTTCAACTTGTGTGAACCGTGTCCACATGTGCACAAAACCAGTGACATGTCCACTAGGAATGTCAGCAGAGAAGAGAGTTCACACCTCCAGCAGGTTTAGGATGAAACTACCCTGGACTGTGACAGCACCATGAGGGTCTATACTGCACGTAAGAGTAATCCATTTTTCCATTGTACTGTCTGCTAAACCCAGCAAATTCAGGAGTGAACACTTCCTTCCTAACAAACTGCTTAAAAGAGCAGTGGTGTTCTGGGGGATGCACAGCAGATGATTCACTGGGCAGATGACACCAGAGAGTGTCGGAAAGAAAAGCAAGTGTAGCCAGCAAGGCAGAAGAGGCAAGTTGTCCCAGTGTTTCTGCCTGTTAAATCTGAATGCAACTAATTAGTTATCTCCTCTGCTAACACCTCCAACAGCACCAGGATTCTAAGAACATGTACCCCCCCACAGGAATGCCCATAGACAGACTTGCAAACTTTGTTGTAGTCTCTAGGGCCCTGGTCTGCAGTGAAACCTGGGGTATATATAGGCATCTGTGTGCACATACAAATAAAGACCATCACTTGCTGCCTCTGGTTAAAGGTCAGGCCTACTCACATCTGCATTACAAGCATTTGTTAATGACCCAAGTACTAGCAACCACTACCTCACCAAGATTTGGTAGGTTTCCAAAATTAAGGCTATTTTGTTGCAATTCTTAATTTACTCTTTCAGCCTCACAGTTGAAGTCTTCCCTACCAGAGCCCAAAAGGATCCAAGTGACAACCATTCTCAGACCAGCCATTAGCCCAAGTATATACTCTGCTGCATTCACAATATCTAGGCTCTGTTAAGCTTGGAAAGAGATTTAAATTGGATTTCATTTCAGAATAGTATTATGAGATGCTTCATCTACTGGCAAACAGGCATTTCAATCTTTTTGCCCCTAAGAACAGATACACCACATTTTTGAAACTCAGTTGCTTGGTAGGAAACAACCCATGTTTTCTAGAACCTTTAAAGGGAACTTGGCTAGGAAACAAATCAGAATTCAGCTAGGACTAACCAGGGTAAGGGTTGCTTATATCTGCAGATTACCCCTCTCTGCTTTTCTAATTCACTCACTATGCCTTATCTTTCCATTAATCTTTAATAAACCTTTTAGCTAATTCCCCAAACACACACAATCTACATGACAGCAGGATACAGTGCAAAAGCAGTCCATGGATATGAGGAAATAGGCAGCAGAGGAATCAAAACTCTGCTGAGTTTTGATCAAAACAAAAGAAGTGAAACTTTTAGGATTAAAAATACCCAAACTGCAGGTCAGTGATGAGCAATCAGGAGAAAGAAGCAGTAAGGGGAAAAGCAGGGAGGAGGAAGGCGGCTGTTTAGAGTACTAGTATTTATCTGGCTGTTGGATTCATTTCCTCAATGGGGCCCTCCTCTCTTTTCCACTCTGGTTCCACTTTGACAAAAACAGGCAATCTGATTTCAAACCTGGGGCCTCTGAAATGTGGAAAACCCTCTCCATGCTGACAACACGATATAGCTAGATTAAAAGGTAAATGTAATTTAACCCACCCCAGCAGAAATGGTAATCAAATTATATTGCCTCTAAATATGATAAGTTTGGGACTGGGGCCCTCAGGGGAAGAGAAGGTGTCTTGCAAACACAAACACAAAGAAACATGTCAAAGGGAACTGCTAAATCAATGCATGAGTTGTGACTTCAACACTCCCTCCCTCCCCCAGGGTGCTTGATAAGCTGCTGATTGCTTCTGAAATATCTACTACCAATGTTAGGAACTGATTAAGCAGCTTACAAAGCACTGGGGGCTAATAGACAGGCCCACCAGGGAGACTGCAGCTCTGGAGTTAAGTAGGTTGCTTTTTCATGGCTTGATTATTAAGGATGAGATAGCAGAACATGCTGAAAAGCTGTGGAAACAGTTTTAGACCTCAGGCGACTGGCCTTTTTATTTTATATATGGCATCGTTTCGACTCTGTGACTTCACCAGCCAACAAAAGCCATGTTTCCTGTTGTTCTGTAGTCTCCATCTCCGAGGGGCATGTGAACTACTTCGAATTAATGTGTCAGCTGAACGTCCAGAACTATGCTACCCTTATTCTGCAGAAAAGGCACCACTAGAGAAGGGAAACGCAGGTGAAAGAAGCTTAAAATACTGTGTTTTACATGTCACTGGCAATAGCTTTAGAGTGTGAACACAGATGTCCCCATGTCAGCCAGCACATCTCACCTCATTGCTTCCTCCATTATCATTTGAGCACTGCAGCACATTCACCTGAGATTCCCTATCCTCTGTTTTCAGCTCTTTATTCCAAATCCTTCTTGTTTAATCTGTTACGTAATAAAATTCTGCCATTCAGATGTACTGAAAGGTCCTTGCTTAGTTCAATCAATATCAATGCAAAGATACATTTTGCTGTCACATTACCTCTCCCATGGTCACATCTGTCATGGTAACACTGCATAGCTTAACTCTGTGTAGCAGGCTTGCTGAGGTTTTTGAGGTTCTTGGGGGGGAAGTTGTTTTTTTTTCCCCCCCTCTTGTGGCAACGCCAAGCACACTTTGTAAATAATCATGTTGCACTTGGGACTGTACAAATTCATAAATTCCTGAATAAGTACTCTTTCAAGCAAAGAGATAAATACTGCTTGTCACCTGCAGGCTGAGACTTAGATGAGAATTCATTGATCAGATGAAAATTTCTCAGAGCAAAGCTCTCTTTGCAGACTACAGTTTTCTTTCAGAGTCTCTTCCCAGCCCCATTTGAACACTGATGCTCTAGGCTTTCTCTCTTTCATCCCTAACCAATGTCCCTGTTAACCCATTTTTATACTACACTATAAACGACAGGGATGACTTGGAAGTACAGCTACTTATGCCACGATTAGCTAGAAGAGGAATGTACAGTTAGCACTGAAGGTGAGAACAGGCTTGATGTGTAACAGGTAGAATTAGTTGAGGACACTTACCTGCTGAAGGTCTGCAAGAGAGTAAAGATGGATTTGCTGCAGAAGATACTCTCTGGGAAAGATCCTGGAAAAGAGAAAAATGGATGTGTGTCACATCTTTTTGACTGGGAAACTTAGAAGTTTCCTCTCCCCACCAAATAGCTGCAGAACAATGGTGCTGGACAGAGAGCTTGTCAGAAACTGGAATTATGTCACCCTTTAAGCATCAGCTACTATTACAGCATTCCACATGGGCACAACAGTTCCACAATAAGAATAAATGCTGTACCAGTGTCATTCTCCAATTGTCAGGTCATGTACAGTGACGTTTAGAGCCGCTGAAAGCTCTTCCTCAGCACAGATGGTGTTTCTTTAAACAATTAATCCAGTAATAAAAACAAATAACTCATTTAAAGTATTGAAAGTATTAATTAAAACTATTTCTTATGCATTTTAGTACAAGATTCCTGGTCTGCTACAAAGATGTAATAGATTCAGACATGATTTATGGCTTTGTAACTGAAATAACTATATTGGGAAAAGGTCATGCAGAGACTGTTCTTGCAACATGAAGTTGATTGATATCAATTACCTTTTGTATACAGAAATATATGTATTGGTGTAGTCTTTGTAATGACTTATTTGAGAAAGCACTATTTACCTTAAAATAAGCAAAGGTTTCAGGCAAGACCATTGCTTATGCACTGACAGATCTATTCAGTAAAGCTAAATTACAGAAACCTGAACAGGGAAGAGATGTCCTAATGAGAGTGACTGGCAGTAAAATGAAAAACTGGGTTAAAATAACATCACAGAGAAAAAAAAGGACATTGTAAAGGCAAGTGGATATCAGCTAAAAAAGTTTATGAAAACCTATGTATCTGCCATAAAGATGTCAGGAAGAGAAAAAGTACATCTAATTAAAACATCTATCTTTGTATGCACACACAGAGAAACAACTACCTGACCAGCTTTTATTTTTCCATTCACACAGAACAAATACAGCACACTAAGGTATTTTGGGGAGTGGAGAGTCACATCACTTCTGCAAATAAAGCAACCAAGTATCTCAAGAGGTGAAACTATTTCACACTACATGTGTGCTCTCTTAGAGCAGAAATTGTGAACTCTGTTCCTATGTAACAATCAGGTAGTTTTAAGGCAATACAGAAATGAAATTCTTGATATTATTAAATGCACAAATGAAGCTCTGGAAAAGACTGGTTTGTAATGGTAGAACTGAATGGCAGAAAACAGAGAGACCACTGGATATGTTCAAAAAAACCCCAAAGATACTGAAAGGCCAATACGGACTTACATGATCACGATGTGAGACTAATAAGAAAGCACATAGCAAACTCACTGAAAATATTTTAGAAGTTGCAACAACATAATCAGCTGAAACACTGATCAACAGGGCTAAGACTACCAACTGCAATGTTTCCACAGAACACTGAAAATCTAAGAAATAATGAAAACACCTCAGTTCCTTGTATTCCACTAGTTGTCTTAAGCGACCACCTTAAACTGATGCTTTTAAAGCTGTCTTGAAGGGCCTAGGACTTCTCACTGCTGTTGAGTGGCACAAAGTCTCATAAGTCCTTTTGTACTTTCGAAAAAAATTTAAGCTTTATTGGGGTGGAAGGAGAAAAGTTCTGCAAGCAAGGCACTGACAACAGAGCACTGCCCATCTTAGGCACTCTTCTGGAGTTGGACTGTGCCCTTGCGCCTTTTGACCCACCAAGCATATTCACTCTGCCCACCCAAAATTCTCAGCTGCAGTCTCCCTAGGATACTGCCATTTTCCCCTTTCAGCTCTCTTGGTGATATCCATTGCTCCTTTTAGAGGTGAATGTGTTTCAGTGGTTCTGCTGCATCACGCCTTCATAATACATTTGGCACAATGTCAAAGATCACTCTAAAACAGTCAAAATCCAGATATCAGACAACATATGACACTGGGATTCCTCATTTGCATATAGCAGATTTATTAAAACTGGTTGCTAATGAGTCAACTCTGAACAGCATTTTGAAGCATTAGTATTTTTTCAGCTCAGATAGAATTTCTTTCATTAAAATTTCCCCTGATCACACAGACAGGTACTAAGCAGTGGTGCAGCTTTGCCAGGAACTGCATTATTTGCTGATGCTCTTACAGCACTGCTAAGGAAAACAATTAGCTAATGAAAGATTTCCTTTTTCAGGAAATTGCCTGAATAGCCCATAAAGCAGAAACTGTCAACATCTTAGTATCGATGACTAACATCACATTCCCCTGCCCTCAAGGACAGCATTTTATTTCCTGCAAGTTCTAGCTCCTAATAAAAAGTGTGCAGATGAAAAGCAAACTCATGAATTCCTTTGTGAGTCTCAGCCAGTACAGGCCCTAATGACAAACATCCTATCCCTGTACCTGTCCCCTTCCCTAAGACATGTTAGTTTGCAGCAACAGCTCTGCAGAGCAGGCATCCAACACACCTCCTCCTTTCCAAATCTATTTCCGGGAAAAGAAATAGATACTGCCCTCCCAGTCTTATGCAAGACATATATATACACACACATACTTGGCATTCAAGTGAGAGGATTGATTATTTCCATTGCTATGGAAACTGAGGCATAAAAAAACCCTCAGTAAGTAAGACTGGTCCAGTTTTGGATTTGCAGTTCTTCTATTGGCTCGAAAAATTAAAATTGGCCACAGAGAAACAGCTGAGCAGCTAAAGCTCACAAATACAACAGCATTTACAAAACTTCTTATGAAGCAACCAGATCAGTTCCTGTATGATTTCCAATACATGCAGAGGTGCAAACCACGCCTTCAACACTTGTCCACAACACCAGAGGTGGAAAGCATACAGCCCCATGACTGTGAAATTCTGAAACTGCCTAAAAGGAGGACGCTCAGCCCCCAGTCATATAAATTGTCTTCACCACACCTGTAGTGAGCTGAGCAACTGCATCAAAAACACATCTTGCTGCGCTGCATGTCTGCAATTAAGATCTCATCCAGAAAATTTCTATTAGTCCCATTTGGAAGGAAAAACCAAAACTCAAGAGCTACCTGAATGTAACTGGCGAAGCCACCTCCCAAAACTGTTCATTGCCAGTTTTTGTGAGCCTCTAGTGGGTGGGTAACAAGAATATAACAGACACCAAAATATCCAACTTAAAACACATTTTCAAAAAAATTCATCATAAAATGCAAGCAAATCAGTTGGGGCAGGACATCCACACAGTCCAAGTAGTCCAGTGAGCAAGAAAAGGACTGATGGTTCATTTCCGACGTCCTGCTTGCCTGCACAGGTTCTCTGAGCCTAATGAGGTCATGGCTTATATAAAGTCTTTTTCAGTAGTAGGCACACAGGACTAATTCAGAGCCTCTTGCTTCTCAACCCGCACACCTCCTCTTGTGTAACTAGTAGGAAAGTAGAGTCTATGCCCTCTCCAACCCTCTGTCATCTGCAACTGAAATTGGCCAGAGGAAACCAAAGTCAGTAGAGAACAGCAGGTGACATGAGGCTCACACAAACGCCATGCCATTGCATTAGTGTCCAGACAAAGTATTTCAAGGCATCCAGATCAACCTAAAATCACATTAATTTCAAAAATCTCACACGGACTACACAACAGGCTAAGATAACTACACTTAGAAATGCTTCACTAGAAAATACTTATTTACTTTCTGCATGAGGTTTGCATCAGGAGCTTTGAGCGTGCTTGGGTTAATACAAGACCTTGATCCAAAAAGACCAAAACATGTGCCTGCCTTTTATTTTTCCCTTGATATAAAGGTCCTTTATAAACACCAAATGGGAAATCTCTGATTAGTTATTTGAAAGCAAAATAATAGACGTCAGTTTTGTAAATCTCTTGATCGATGTGCGACAACTAACTAGATTTTTTTTTAAAGTTGGTCAATTAAAAGCATTCAATAAACAGTGTCCTTTCAGTCAAACCTTAACACAGAAAAAAACTGGAGTGAGCTAAACAGAGGTCAACTGCAAGATGTTAAGACTTATACAATAAAAACTCAAACCTCTGCTGCTTCAGAGTGTGACCTGTGACCCTGGAGAGGCAAATGGTATCAAGAGCACATCGCGCTAAAAGCACCTTCTAAGCCTTCACAGTTTGGAAACCCCTGGACCAGTTTCACCATTGATGAGTCACAGGATTGAAGTCCTGTAAGCCCTGGCTCCTAGTCAGGGTTTAGGTGAAGCAAACAAACCAAGTTCAATGTTAAACAGCCCTCTAGCTTTGCCAGTTCCCGGGAACAATGAAATCCAAAGTCCTACTGGTTAAAGGTCTCTAAATTGCTTTATTGTTATGTCCTAGATATAAACGCAATCAATGCAAGCAGGAAAGAAACCCACCATCAGAGGCTTTTGGTCCAAATAAAAGAGAGAATTGAGCATTCTTAGTTTGTGATTATTACTCTTTTTTTGTTTGATACTTTGTAATCTGAAATATAACTTTCAGTCAAGACGGAACCAGAAATTTCATCTGTTCCCTTTTGGATGATCTTATCAGGTAAGTGTTTGCACAAACAAAGGTTATCATTTAGTGTCCTCTTGCAAACAGAACCACTGATAAGACTTTGCTTTTTGCATTTGGACAAAGTGTGTAGTCATGGTGCTTTGTTAGCACTAAGTAATTGCTCTGCATTTAAAGCCTGTTTATCATCAGCTTAGGTAATTTTTCTTCAACGGGTTAAATACCCTGACAGCTCTGCTAAAGCTACAACCTATTAATCTGTCCATGCCTGACACTATAACCAAAGTACAAATGTGATAAGCAGGAGGAACTCTTCTTTTTACAATGCAATCAAAAGCAATCAAGTTTGCTGGCAGGTGGGCACAACCAAATCTCCTTTGTACTAAAAGGCCTGTTGAAACCTAGGATGGGAGGGGAAGCTGGCACCACGATTTCATGTGCCAGCCAGGAGCGTCTTGTTTGACCAGGTTGGGAACTGTATGACTGAGCTCTGACTCACGGGGGACGCAGATGCACCAGTCTAGCACACTGCCACCTCTCCACCCCTCTGCAGGAAGCTGCTACACCCACAGCTGGCAGAGCACCATGGGTACC